CAATGATCGTCAATAGGGTGAATATTTTGCCCAATTCTGTGGGGGACACCAGGTTTGACAACTGGGCTCTCAATCCCACGTTTGCCATCCACTCGACACCGCTGACCGCCACTGATATGTAATACCCGACGGGATTGACAATTGTGGCCAATATTATCAGTTTCAACGTTAGGCTCGAGAATCCAAACACCGTTAGAGCCATGTCTTCAAAGTTATACAACTTTTTTTGTACACCAATTGAACGCAAATTAATAGTTATTTTTAAAAATTAATATTTTTATACCTTGATGAGGATGATAGTTGCAGTCAACACAAACAGGCACTTGACTACCGTTCCCGAGGCCTGGTATTCGGCAAAGTCGGTGGTATACCAGCCGTAGATCTGTTCGTAAAATTCATCGACAAAAGAGGGCACAGATATGAAGACATAGAGATAGCAAGTGGTGCCGCAAATGGTGAGCCATATCTGGGCTCTGGTAGTGTTCGGCCGCTTCCGAAACACCGTAACAAATGTCTGCTTAATGTTATTGAAGTGAAACAACTGTTTGATTTGATTTCCGACCTGTTGTTTCTGTTTATGGTAACTATTATAGTCTTTGAGTTCATAACTATTGTCACCAAAACTCTCGTCAAATAGTATTTTCTCTTTTTGTTGATTTATGACAAACACCGACCAAATGAATGCCACGAAAGCACTGCAGGCGCTGATGGCGTGTATGAATGATTGGCTGTATATCTGGTTTGTGGTCCACATCGGGTCGTCAAATGCTACCCTTCCGTACACACTGTCCGACACTAAATGACCTGTCATTGAACGGGAATACAAATAATTTAAGCATTACTTGAGTGCTAAATATAGCCCAAAAATGTAATACTCAAAGCGAGGCTAATCTCCAGTGCCATCATCCGTATGGGTCGCATGTTTGCCGGTGTAGTGGCCGCCACATAGGCGTAGGCTATGCTCCATACCATAGACCCGGACACTATGTACGGCACGAATGAGATGGTGATCCATCGGACATCTGTGTTAAAGTCTGTGTTAAATGTAAGATTTAATACAACTATTCACATGCAATACAGTGTATTGAATGCACAATTATATGGGACCGGTATGTGGTGCGTATATAGTGCGGTCCCCGTAAGACTAACCCGAGTCTAAAAGTGCTACATTCAAGAGACTGATGATCGCTTCCAAGCACTGGATGAACGAGCCCACGATGAATATGGCTTTCCTCCCGTTCCCGTACTCATCGGTCCAGTGGCCCAGGAATAGGGCCCACAATATGATGACTGGAATGTAGAGATTGTAACAGAAATATCGGCTCAGACTGTAGTTATTGACACAGAGTTTGTCCTGAAGTAACAGATCCAATGGTGTGCTCCGGATATTATAGCTAATTGTCATCAAAAACACAAACACTTCTACTTTCATAAGTGACACAAAAGTTATGCAACTTTTCAAACTTATTAATGTTTTGTAGGCAAACATGTTTAAAATAAATTTCTTAATCATTTGATAATCAAATTTAATTTAAAACGTTACTGTTAAATGTTTGACTTAACGGTAAACACAGACTGATCATAAATGTGACAAAAAATTGAGACTAGTTTTGGAGTTTTTTAATACAGTTTTTCAAAGGAGACTCATTGCTAATGAATTACTAATTGATAATCAATGGAATATTTAATGTTTTATAATTTGTATTATTTGTAAAAGTAATTTTTTAGTTAACATGATAGACAAATGAAACACTAATAACCATAATGTGTGACAATTAATTGCTATAATAAAACAAAA